GGGTTAAAAGCCAGTGAGTAAAAGTGGGTTTTAAGGTGGGTTTTAAAAACAGACAGTGAGGAGGCCTGTCTGCTGTGCAGAGGTAGATTGTTCCACATTTTTGGAGCAGCAAAGGAGAATGCACGGTCTCCTCTAAGCGTTCGCTTGGACCTCGGTACCTCAAGGAGCAGCTGATCAGCTGACCTGAGGCACCGGGCAGGGGCGTAGGGGTGAAAAAGCTCAGAGAGGTAGGGCAGGGCGAGACCATTTAAAGATTTAAAAACAAATAAAAGGATCTTAAAATGAACTCTAAAGTGCACAGGCAGCCAGTGGAGGGAGGCTAGGATGGGTGTAATGTGCTCTCTCATTCGTATTCCAGTTAGCAGACGAGCAGCAGCGTTTTGGACTAACTGGAGACGTGCAAGGGAGGACTGGCTAACTCCAAAGTAAAGTGCATTGCAGCAATCCAGCCGAGATGTAATGAAGGCATGGATTACTGCTTCAAAGTGCTGATGTGCCAGGAAAGGCTTCACCTTCGCAAGCTGCCTGAAGTGAAAAAAACTAGACTTTACAACTGCACTAATTTGGTGGTCCAATTTAAAATCACTGTCCATCTTAAAACCCAAGTTAGTAACAGTAGACTTTGCATAAACTGCCAAGGGACCCAGATCAGCAGGGGAGGAAACACAGGAGCCGCTGGGGCCAAACACCATCACCTCTGTTTTTTTTTTTTTTTCATTAAAATTTAAAAAGTTTATGGCCATCCAGGCTTTGATATCTTCAAGACATGACAGCAGGGATTTGAGGGAAAAGGCATAGCTTTTACTCAGGGGGACATACAGTACAGGCCAAAAGTTTGGACACACCTTCTCATTCAATGCGTTTTCTTTATTTTCATGACTATTTACATTGTAGATTCTCACTGAAGGCATCAAAACTATGAATGAACACATGTGGAGTTATGTACTTAACAAAAAAAGGTGAAATAACTGAAAACATGTTTTATATTCTAGTTTCTTCAAAATAGCCACCCTTTGCTCTGATTACTGCTTTGCACACTCTTGGCATTCTCTCCATGAGCTTCAAGAGGTAGTCACCTGAAATGGTTTNATAAAAGCGGAGCGGAGGAGGATTCACACGCACCAAGACCAACCCACATAGTCCTGTCGGCTAAGTAGGACCTGAACCAGTCCAGGGCGCTACCACCAATGCCCACTAGCTGCTGCAGACGTTTTAACAAAATGTTGTGGTCCACAGTGTCAAAGGCAGCTGTCAAGTCGAGTAGGACAAGAACAACATAGTTGCCACTATCATTTGCCATTAAAATGTCATTAAAAACTTTTCAAAGGGCAGTTTCCGTGGTATGCAAAGTTTTAAAACCAGACTGAAAAACCTCCATAATATTGTGATCATCAAGGAAAGTTTTTAGTTGTGCACAGACAATTTTCTCCAGGATTTTAGAAATTAAAGGCAACTTGGAGATGGGCCTGAAATTTGCTATAACAGTGCTATCTAAGCCAGGCTTCTTCAGCAAAGGTTGTACTACTGCATGTTTGAAGCTTACTGGGACAACACCAGAGGACAGGCTGCTATTTAAAATGGTCAGAACCGACTGCCCTATAGTAGAGAAAACTTCTTTAAAGAAGTGGGGAGGGACCACATCGCGAGGGGAACCTGATGGTTTAATATGGGCCACCACATCCTCTAACAGTGACAGAGTCACAAGTTCAAATCTGTTGAACACAGCTGGGCAAGAAACAGAGACAGAGGGATCAAAGGTGGGTGGAGAAATGAGGGCTCTTGTGGACACAACCTCATCAATGAAAAAGTGCAGAAAACTATTACACACATCAAACAAACAAACCTTTCTGAAGCTCTGAGAGTTGACTAACTTCCCTCCATGTTGCCTTGATCTTGGCCTCCAGCCTCCTTCTCCATGGAGGGTAGCACTCTTTGTGGCTCGTGGTGTCCATCTTGTATCCAAGCATCTCTAAGATCACTGTTGCTCTGGTGGTGTGTATACAGTTTTGGTTTTAGTGGGGATAAGTAGTACTGCATTCACATCATCTAGCAGACTTTCAGACTGTACTTTGTCATTTAGCCTTGGTAATCAGGTTTCCAGCTTGTCCATTATTCTCAATCTCAGGTCATTCGCCCTTGCTTGTTGGGGCTTGGTACCCAATATTGGAGTGTGGGGATGATGATGTCGTCCTGGCTCCCCCATGCCATAGCATGTGTCATCAATTTCTAGTTCACTTCCTGTACGAATGTTGAGCCAAACCATGATGTTTGTTTTCTTTCTTTTTTAAATATATTTTTTTTAGGCATTTTTAAGCCTTTAATCGATAGGACAGATGAGTGTGAAAGGAGGGAGAGAGAGGGAGTGACATGCAGCAAAGGGCCACAGGCTGGAGTCGAACCCGGGCCGCTGCGGCAACAGCCTTGTACATGGGGCACCTGCTCTACCACTAAGCCACCGACGCCCCATGATGTTTGTTTTCTAAACCTAACCATGTGTGTTTGTCATACAAGGAAATACATGTTAAAATTGAGGTGTTTCAGCAACATCGTTAGTTTAATTTGAATAAACCTGTGTCCATCTAACGAGCAGAAACTGGACACTGAAGTTTATTTTGAAAAGACACAATTCATGTTCGAGGCAGAAACTGACACGAGGTGCTGGAGAATCAAGAACAGACGAAGGAGGAGGAGAGCGTCCAGAGGAAGCAGTGATAGGTGACGAGCTGGGAGGAGAACGTGTATCCATTAACTGAACTGGTGACACTGGTTTCTGCTGTGATTCCATTCTGTCATACAGACACCAGAGTGATAGAGCCATGGTTCCTCTGTTTCACCTCCGTCACGACCAGTTTAACACACACACACACACACACACACACACACACACACACTGTGTGTGACTGATGGCTGTTGTCAGGCTCAGATTGGGAAAGTGTTGTAGGTCTAAAATCAAACACACACACACACACACACACACACACACACACACACATGACACAGCTCGACAGCGACGTCTTGTCCTGAACGTTTCTCATCTACCGAGTCATCTGGAAGGATATTACACCTGGACCCACACACACACCCACACACACACACACACACACACACACACACACACACACACAGCAGGTAATGGGTTTTTCATGGGACTGACATCCCATCACATTATACAGTCAGTCAGAAGGACTCTCTGCTCTCCGTCCGTCACACATCATCTTCACCTCCTCTTCACTCAGCTGCAGCTGGATCTCAATACAAAACCTCCATCACAAAACCCCTCATTTAAATTCTAATTGTTCCTGATGCTGTCACACTGTCACTGCTGTGGCTTCATAATCACTCATTTCTCTAATGGAGTTTGGTTTGTACAGAGTCCACAATCAGCGACATTCAGTCATCACATCACACAGACAGTTCAGCTTTCTGCCATCAGAGGGTCAATGGTTACTGACGAGCACATCCCCGACCTTAATAGATGTTAATGGATGTTATTAGTAGTTAATGGTAATTAAAAGAAGTTATTTACAGGTTTATACACAATAATAATCAGTGATCAGTGGTTACTAATAACATGCTTAAGTCAGTTGTTTTGATGTTAATAGAGGTTAATGGTTATTGGTAGTTAATGGTAATTAAAAGAAGTTATTCACCAGTATAATTACTAAATATAGAACTAATTTTTTATGGTAATTAAGAGGTTATACATGGTAGTCAGTGTTTATTAATACCCTAGGTGTGGTGTCCAGGTGGCAGTTGATCGTTGTTAAAGGGAAATTTCGGTTTATTTCAACCAGTCTCCTATCGTCCTACCGGTGTGCTGCCATGTTTGTTTACCATTTAACTCTGCTTTCCAAAGTGTGGCCGAAATATCGCGAGAACAAGCAGTGATCTCATACCGTGCCTGAAATCTCGCGAGAACAAGCAGCAACAGCTGGAAGGCAGAACCGGACAGTAGCCTGAAAAGTTCGTTCATTTATTTTATGAAAGATTTATAGAATAATGGCTGACTTTTTGCCAGACTTCGACTTTGTGGAGGAGGAATTTGATTTTGCAGAGTTTGATGGCCGCCCTTATTTATTTGAGCCAGAATACACTGACGAAGAGCTTCGTGAAATTGAAGAACGGAGGAGGAGAGAGAGAGAGAGAGAGAGAGAGGCGCAACAGGTAGAGGACGAGAGAGGAGGAATGGCTGCTGCAAGGCTGCGTAGCTCTGGAGATTGGTGGTGTACCTGTGAATGCTGTGCCCCAGTGCCCACAGAAGAGGAATGCCTCTGTTGCAAGGAATGGGACCGGTTGCAGCCTTATTTTCAAGGTCTGGATGTGACCGAGGACGAGACACCTCCACCTGGAGTAGTATCCAGCTGGGCTTTATCTAGAGCTCGCGAGATATATTTCGGCCACGCTTTGGAAAGCAGAGCTAGATGGTAAACAAACATGGCAGCACACCGGTAAGGTAAGACAACACGTTTACATGTCGTTTTCTATATGTTCTCTGACATTTATCCTAACGATATGAGGCGGTCTTTGTGGAAAAAAAGCTTGTTTAGTGGACTAACTTTGCACTTGAAGGTTGCCCGTTCACTTACGTTTTAACAGGTCTGACGCTACTATGCGCCCCGGCTGTATCTAGGCTAACGGCTAACATGCTAACTATTATTTCTCTGTCATTAGTGACTTGAAACAAATTTAGAACGATAGGAGACAGGTTGAAATAAACCGAAATTTCCCTTTAATGTTAGTCAATGGTATGTTACTGTGATTTATGGTGTATTATATTTAAACTAGTTAATGGGAGTTAATGGGTAAAAAGGTCAGTAATGTTGTTTAATGGTTTCAGGAGCTGCGACCAGGAGACAGAATTATAACGGGGAGATAGTGGAAGTCAATAGTATTATTTTTTTTATCCTTTTTTTTTTGAATATCTGACATGTAGTTAGAATGTTGGCAGTCAATGTGAAGATGAGCTGATTTTAATTAACGTCAATGTTTGATGGTTTCAGGAGCTGCGACCAGGAAACCAGAACCAGAACAGGAGAAACAGTCAGATCACACAGTGAAGATCGCTGGCGCCATCGCTGGCATCCTGCTCTTCATCATCATCTTCCTCGGAGTCATCCTGCTGATGAAGAAACGGTAAGAATATTCACACACACACACACACACACACACACACACACCCCAATACAGAACACGTCCGTTTGTTTGTTTGTTTGTTTGTCTGCATTCATTGTTTTTCACAAATTGGACTTGTATATTTTTATTTTAAACGTCAACACCTGCTTCTCCTGAGTCATATTATATTTTGTATATTTTTGTGTTTTCGTCCGTTCTTTCACTTTGACTTTTAATAAAATAATGATTATATTTTTTTTAATCTACTGACTGCGTCATTTAAAATTCTCCTTTTTGTGTCATTTCTGACAGAAGGTTTTGGTTCATGTGCGATCCATCTGACTGATATTTGTGTTTCGATAAGGTGCAGTTGGTGGGAGTTAATGGAAACCAGTCAATGTTAGTGGTAGTAAACAGCAGCACATAGGATCTGATAGGAGTTTATGTCAGTGTGAGACAGAGAGATGCTAACGGGAGTTTACTGGGAGATAATGGTCATGGATGGTTCCAGTGGTGGTTAATGGTTACTTTCAGTGTGTGTGTGTGTGTGTGTGTGTGTGTGTTAACAGTGTGATAACACTGCAGTATATACATGTATAATACATGCAGATAAACGCAGTTCCATCAAAGACACACACGGTGACAGTGAGGATGATGAGGATGAATAATGGAGCAGATTGCAGCAGTAATCACCATTAAACTATATGTGGACTGACTTTATTCTCCAACATCAAACACACAAACCCCGCTGGGACACACACACACACACACACACACTTAAACACAGTGAGAAAAGCTTATGTGTTTGGAGAGCATTGACGATAAGAGAGAAATTTAGATGAAAGAGCGTTTTATTCTTTGTTTTTTTTTTTTCCAGAGTCGCCTAGAGCTGAATGGCTTCAGGCTACAGAGACACACAAGCGTTTATAAAGAGTGTGTGTGTGTGTGTGTGTGTGTGTGTGTGTGTGTGTAAAGTGTGGTGGGTTTGAGTCGGACTCGTCTGTCGGGTCGATGGAGCTCTGATCTCTCTAACAGATACTAGAGAGAGAAAACGAGAGCGGCGGTTGTTCGGTCTCTAATGAGGTTTTTAATGTTGACGGGGTGCGTTTGATTTCCACTCTGTGAGCAGACAGAGGTCAGACTCATTACAGCAGGAGTGAAAACAGGAAGCTGGGTGTTAAAACTCTGATTGGCTGCAGCCTGATCACACACTGTCAGAGCCGGTCTCTTTGTAGGACAGTGTGTAACTATGCCTCGTCTTCAATAAGCTGATGGGTGGAGGGATACAGGAACACAGCAACCTGTGATAAAGTAGTCCTGAGCCCGACAGGTGATTAAGGGTGAAGGGATCGTTAAGTGTCATCTTTAACTCTAACTAACTAACTAACTAACTAACTAACTAACTAACTTAGCAGTACCACGGATAAAATGACTGTTACACAACTCCTGCATCAAAAATACTACATCAGTCAGAGTACTGTCAGTAAATATACTGACTGGGTCAAAGGTAAAAGTACTCAGTATATAGGATTACTTCAAAAATACTGTGATACTGCAGTGATGATAAAATACCACAGTGATGATAAAATACTACAGTGATAATAAAATACTACAGTGATGATAAAATACTACAGTGATAATAAAATACTACAGTGATGATAAAATAATATGGTGATGATAAAATACTACAGTGATGATAAAATACTACAGTGATAATAAAATACTACAGTGATGATAAAATAATATGGTGATGATAAAATACTACAGTGATAATAGAATACTACAGTGATAATTAAATACTACAGTGATAATAAAATACTACAGTGATGATAAAATACTACAGTGATAATAAAATACTACAGTGATGATAAAATAATATGGTGATGATAAAATACTACAGTGATAATAGAATACTACAGTGATAATTAAATACTACAGTGATAATAAAATACTACAGTGATGATAAAATACTACAGTGATAATAAAATACTACAGTGATGATAAAATAATATGGTGATGATAAAATACTACAGTGATAATAGAATACTACAGTGATAATTAAATACTACAGTGATAATAAAATACTACAGTGATGATAAAATACTACAGTGATAATAAAATACTACAGTGATGATAAAATAATATGGTGATGATAAAATACTACAGTGATAATAGAATACTACAGTGATAATTAAATACTACAGTGATAATAAAATACTACAGTGATGATAAAATACTACAGTGATAATAAAATACTACAGTGATGATAAAATAATATGGTGATGATAAAATACTACAGTGATAATAGAATACTACAGTGATAATTAAATACTACAGTGATAATAAAATACTACAGTGATGATAAAATACTACAGTGATAATAGAATACTACAGTGATAATTAAATACTACAGTGATAGTGAAATACTACAGTCATGATTAAATACCACAGTGATGATAAAATACTAAAGTGATAATAAAATACTACAGTGATAATAAAATACTACAGTGATAATTAAATACTACAGTGATAATAAAATACTACAGTGATGATAAAATACTACAGTGATAATAAAATACTACAGTGATGATAAAATACTACAGTGATAATAAAATACTACAGTGATGATAAAATACTACAGTGATAATAAAATACTACAGTGATGATAAAATACTACAGTGATAATAAAATACTACAGTGATAATAAAATACTACAGTGATAATAAAATACTACAGTGATAATAAAATACTACAGTGATAATAAAATACTACAGTGATAATAAAATACTACAGTGATAATAAAATACTACAGTGATAATAAAATACTACAGTGATAATAAAATACTACAGTGATAATAAAATACTACAGTGATAATAAAATACTACAGTGATAATAAAATACTACAGTGATAATAAAATACTACAGTGATAATAAAATACTACAGTGATAATAAAATACTACAGTGATAATAAAATACTACAGTGATAATAAAATACTACAGTGATAATAAAATACTACAGTGATGATAAAATACTACAGTGATAATAAAATACTACAGTGATGATAAAATACTACAGTGATAATAAAATACTACAGTGATGATAAAATAATATGGTGATGATAAAATACTACAGTGATAATAGAATACTACAGTGATAATTAAATACTACAGTGATAATAAAATACTACAGTGATGATAAAATACTACAGTGATAATAGAATACTACAGTGATAATTAAATACTACAGTGATAGTGAAATACTACAGTCATGATTAAATACCACAGTGATGATAAAATACTAAAGTGATAATAAAATACTACAGTGATAATAAAATACTACAGTGATAATAAAATACTACAGTGATAATAAAATACTACAGTGATAATAAAATACTACAGTGATAATAAAATACTACAGTGATAATAAAATACTACAGTGATAATAAAATACTACAGTGATGATAAAATACTACAGTGATAATAGAATACTACAGTGATAATAAAATACTACAGTGATAGTGAAATACTACAGTCATGATTAAATACCACAGTGATGATAAAATACTAAAGTGATAATAAAATACTACAGTGATAATAGAATACTACAGTGATAATTAAATACTACAGTGATAGTGAAATTCTACAGTGATAATAAAACACTACAGTGATGATAAAACACTACAGTGATGATAAAATACTACGGTGATGATACAATACTACAGTGATAATAAAATACTACAGTGATAGTGAAATACTACAGTGATAATAAAATACTACAGTGATGATAAAATACTACAGTGATAGTGAAATAGTACAGTGATGATAAAATACTACAGTGATAATAAAATACTACAGTGATGATAAAATACTACAGTGATAATAAAATACTACAGTGATAATAAAATACTACAGTGATAATAAAATACTACAGTGATAATAAAATAATACAGTGATAATAAAATACTACAGTGATAATAAAATACTACAGTGATAATAAAATACTACAGTGATAATAAAATACTACAGTGATAATAAAATACTACAGTGATAGTGAAATACTACAGTGATAATAAAATACTACAGTGATGATAAAATACTACAGTGATAATAAAATACTACAGTGATGATAAAATACTACAGTGATAATAAAATACTACAGTGATAATAAAATACTACAGTGATAGTGAAATACTACAGTGATAATAAAATACTACAGTGATGATAAAATACTACAGTGATAATAAAATACTACAGTGATGATAAAATACTACAGTGATAATAAAATACTACAGTGATAATAAAATACTACAGTGATAGTGAAATACTACAGTGATAATAAAATACTACAGTGATGATAAAATACTACAGTGATAATAAAATACTACAGTGATGATAAAATACTACAGTGATAATAAAATACTACAGTGATAATAAAATACTACAGTGATAGTGAAATACTACAGTGATAATAAAATACTACAGTGATAATAAAATACTACAGTGATAATAAAATACTACAGTGATAATAAAATACTACAGTGATGATAAAATACTACAGTGATAATAAAATACTACAGTGATAATAAAATACTACAGTGATAGTGAAATACTACAGTGATAATAAAATACTACAGTGATGATAAAATACTACAGTGATAATAAAATACTACAGTGATGATAAAATACTACAGTGATAATAAAATACTACAGTGATAATAAAATACTACAGTGATAGTGAAATACTACAGTGATAATAAAATACTACAGTGATAATAAAATACTACAGTGATAATAAAATACTACAGTGATGATAAAATACTACAGTGATAATAAAATACTACAGTGATAATAAAATACTACAGTGATAGTGAAATACTACAGTGATAATAAAATACTACAGTGATGATAAAATACTACAGTGATAATAAAATACTACAGTGATGATAAAATACTACAGTGATAATAAAATACTACAGTGATAATAAAATACTACAGTGATAGTAAAATACTACAGTGATAATAAAATACTACAGTGATGATAAAATACTACAGTGATAATAAAACACTACAGTGATGATAAAATACTACAGTGATAATAAAATACTACAGTGATAGTGAAATACTACAGTGATAATAAAATACTACAGTTATGATAAATAGTTCCACTGTACTTGAGCTCTAGAGTATACAGCTGTTCCTAATAAAGTGGACACTAGTACATCTCAAGTGTAGTAGTCTCTTCTGGACCAAGCTGTCTCTTTGTCTGCGTCTCTTCCTTATACACAATCACATGTTGACCAATTAGACGTGTCCCCTCCCCCTCACACTTTGATTGACACAGTGTTCCAGCCAATCACCACTCTCCACTCCTCCACCTCCTCACAGAATAATTTAAGTCATCTGTTCTGAGACATTAATCTGTTGTTTTTCTTTTTTCTGTTTTTCTGTTTTTTCTTTCCCTCCATTCCATCCCTCCCACTGCTCCGCCCCCCACCACTCAGACGGCGAAATTATCACTCCTACACTTACTACCTGTAAGTAACCTGTTTGACCTCTGACCCCTCACCTGTAACCTTCACCTTCACTCTGTCATCAAACCTCAGCACCTCAGCCTGAGCTCCCAGTGTGTCCTGCCTGTATCCCTGCTCTCCCCTTAACCTCTGACCCTTAACTTATGATCCCTAACCCTTTACTTCTGATTATTGACCCTTAACTTTTGATCCCAATATCTGATTTCTGACCCTTAACCTCTGATCCCTCACCCTTGACTTCTTATCCCTGACCCTTGACGTCTGATTCCTGACCCCTAACCTCTGATCCCCAACCCTTAAATTCTTATTCCTGACCCCTAACTTTTGATCCCTCACCCTTAACTTCTGATCCCCAACCCTTAACCTCAGATTCCTGACCCTCAACCCCTGATCCCCAACCCTTAACTTCTGATCCCTAACCCTTAACCTCTGATCCCTGACCTTTAACTTTTGATCCGTAACCCTTAACCTTTGATCCCTGACCCTTAACTTTTGATCCGTAACCCTTAACCTCTAACCTTTTATCCAAAACCTCTGAGCCTTCACCCTTAAACATTTGATCTGGAACCCTTAACCTCTGACTCCTGACTCTTAACCTTTTATTGCTGATCCTTAACCTATTGTCCCCGACCCTTAACCTTTGACCCCTGACTCTTTGTCCTTGATCTTTGACCTTGCAGCCTTTCACCTCTGAACATTGATCATGATCCTAATAGTTTTCTTCCTCCTCCTCACCTGAACAATCACCATCATCACTGCTCAGCATTAACATTTGACCCTTAACTCTCAGGTCACCCCTTAGTTCACGTTCTCATATATGTCATCAACAGCTGTGACCTCTGAACCCTGACCTTCACCATGAGCTTGACCCATTTCCCATGAGTCACTGATGATAACCATCGGCACAGGAACGATATTCTTTCCTTCTGATTCAATACTATCTCAACTTTTGTGTGCTGGTTTGATGTGTATCGTGATTTTACCATTTAGTGCAATTTTTGTTTCCGATGTTTTGCCTTTCAACGTCACGTTATTCGTAGATTGCCACAATGAAAGCAGAAACTAATTCCACCTCCATGTTTGATTCATATCTATTCAGGCATTATAAAATTGATTCAAAATCTTTTTTTTTTTTAAATAATCAAAACACTTTAAGCAAACTGATTTTATTTCCACCCCTACTGACCATCACCACAAATCTCAACCCATAACTCGACCATTCCTCTAGCCCCTGACCTTTGACCCTTTGCTTAAACCATGTGCATGACCTTTGCATTTCCAACGCTGACCTTCACCTTCACCACACATCTTGACCCGTAACATTTCCCTTTACCCAACTCTTTGTCTTTGACCCGTGACCTTGACCCTGTAGTCCAAGTCTTCCTGTGTCCAGTTATTCAGCTGTGACCTCTGACCCATAACTCGTACGTTTACCCACAAACCCCTGACATTTACCTCTGTCATAATATTATCCTGACCTTTAGTCTTTGGTCCAGGCTCTTAGTGTTGCTCCTTCTTTAATGGCTGCATTTCTATCCTGCAAAAGCGCCTTACAATTTCGGGTTTGGTGTCTTGTCTGAGGACACTTTGACATGTGAACAGGAGGAGCCTGGATCGAACCACCAGCCCTGGGATTAGTGGGCAACCCGCTAGACGACCCGAGCCACAGCTGTGCAATAGGACTCATCTTCTGTGACCCTTGATCCTGAGCCGCAGATTTTAACCCCAGACTGTATAAAAAACATGGACCAAAAAGTGAACTTGGTGATGAAATCACATAGGGTCAGTGTCGTCAGCAGAAAAGTGTTGGCAGGTCCAACCTGGTCTCGCTCCGAAATCATCAAATTTCAGCACTTGGTCAGTAACCTCTGGTGTCAGACACCAATGAACCACTTCATCATTCAGTTTATCACAAACATCCAACACATAAAGGAACACTTCATCCTTCAGTTTATCACAAACATCAACACATAAAGGAAGACTTCATCCTTCAGTTTATCACAAACATCGACACAATAAAGGAACACTTCATCCTTCAGTTTATCACAAACATCGACACATAAAGGAAGACTTCATCCTTCAGTTTATCACAAACATCCACACATAAAGGAAGACTTCATCCTTCAGTTTATCACAAACATCAACACATAAAGGAACACTTCATCCTTCAGTTTATCACAAACATCCACACATAAAGGAAGACTTCATCCTTCAGTTTATCACAAACATCAACACATAAAGGAAGACTTCATCCTTCAGTTTATCACAAACATCAACACATAAAGGAAGACTTCATCCTTCAGTTTATCACAAACATCAACACATAAAGGAAGACTTCATCCTTCAGTTTATCACAAACATCAACACATAAAGGAAGACTTCATCCTTCAGTTTATCACAAACATCAACACATAAAGGAAGACTTCATCCTTCAGTTTATCACAAACATCAACACATAAAGGAAGACTTCATCCTTCAGTTTATCACAAACATCAACACATAAAGGAAGACTTCATCCTTCAGTTTATCACAAACATCAACACATAAAGGAAGACTTCATCCTTCAGTTTATCACAAACATCAACACATAAAGGAAGACTTCATCCTTCAGTTTATCACAAACATCAACACATAAAGGAAGACTTCATCCTTCAGTTTATCACAAACATCAACACATAAAGGAAGACTTCATCCTTCAGTTTATCACAAACATCAACACATAAAGGAAGACTTCATCCTTCAGTTTATCACAAACATCAACACATAAAGGAAGACTTCATCCTTCAGTTTATCACAAACATCAACACATAAAGGAAGACTTCATCCTTCAGTTTATCACAAACATCAACACATAAAGGAAGACTTCATCCTTCAGTTTATCACAAACATCAACACATAAAGGAAGACTTCATCCTTCAGTTTATCACAAACATCAACACATAAAGGAAGACTTCATCCTTCAGTTTATCACAAACATCAACACATAAAGGAAGACTTCATCCTTCAGTTTATCACAAACATCAACACATAAAGGAAGACTTCATCCTTCAGTTTATCACAAACATCAACACATAAAGGAAGACTTCATCCTTCAGTTTATCACAAACATCAACACATAAAGGAAGACTTCATCCTTCAGTTTATCACAAACATCAACACATAAAGGAAGACTTCATCCTTCAGTTTATCACAAACATCAACACATAAAGGAAGACTTCATCCTTCAGTTTATCACAAACATCAACACATAAAGGAAGACTTCATCCTTCAGTTTATCACAAACATCAACACATAAAGGAAGACTTCATCCTTCAGTTTATCACAAACATCAACACATAAAGGAAGACTTCATCCTTCAGTTTATCACAAACATCAACACATAAAGGAAGACTTCATCCTTCAGTTTATCACAAACATCAACACATAAAGGAAGACTTCATCCTTCAGTTTATCACAAACATCAACACATAAAGGAAGACTTCATCCTTCAGTTTATCACAAACATCAACACATAAAGGAAGACTTCATCCTTCAGTTTATCACAAACATCAACACATAAAGGAAGACTTCATCCTTCAGTTTATCACAAACATCAACACATAAAGGAAGACTTCATCCTTCAGTTTATCACAAACATCAACACATAAAGGAAGACTTCATCCTTCAGTTTATCACAAACATCAACACATAAAGGAAGACTTCATCCTTCAGTTTATCACAAACATCAACACATAAAGGAAGACTTCATCCTTCAGTTTATCACAAACATCAACACATAAAGGAAGACTTCATCCTTCAGTTTATCACAAACATCAACACATAAAGGAAGACTTCATCCTTCAGTTTATCACAAACATCAACACATAAAGGAAGACTTCATCCTTCAGTTTATCACAAACATCAACACATAAAGGAAGACTTCATCCTTCAGTTTATCACAAACATCAACACATAAAGGAAGACTTCATCCTTCAGTTTATCACAAACATCAACACATAAAGGAAGACTTCATCCTTCAGTTTATCACAAACATCAACACATAAAGGAAGACTTCATCCTTCAGTTTATCACAAACATCAACACATAAAGGAAGACTTCATCCTTCAGTTTATCACAAACATCAACACATAAAGGAAGACTTCATCCTTCAGTTTATCACAAACATCAACACATAAAGGAAGACTTCATCCTTCAGTTTATCACAAACATCAACACATAAAGGAAGACTTCATCCTTCAGTTTATCACAAACATCAACACATAAAGGAAGACTTCATCCTTCAGTTTATCACAAACATCAACACATAAAGGAACACTTTGATGGGGCCTAACCTTCTAATAGATCTCTAATTAAAGTATCAAAATGGTTATCAATAATGGTTAATAATTGATAACTATAATAATGATTATTAATTATGTTAAATAATGTGACTTGATTTACATCAAATTACCTCGTGGGGCACCATTCCCGAAAAGGGAAAATGATAGCCAGTTAAAGATATTAGTCTCATAAAAGACACTAAACAAACAATATGGAATTTTATTAGTTAAATTAATAACTATAACCAAAGTTGCCATATTAATAATAAAGGTTGAAGGAGTTATTGACACAGGAGATGTTGAATATTCATTCACTCTGGTGCAACATTAAACAGACAGCAGGTCTGATTCCAAAAGTTTTTATTCATAAACAAAACAAAAGAAAACACACAAATTCTAACTAACTATATGCAAGCCTGTGTGTGTGTGTGTGTGTGTGTGTGTGTGTGTGTGTGTGTGTGTGTGTGTGTGTGAAAAAAGGCCGTCTGGCCTACAAAACAAAATGGGTGACGACAGAGAACTACAAGATGGCCGAATCAAAGCTGTCTTCATATCAGGGGAGGTGTTTGTCTGATAAAGATCAGGACAAAGGCAAATTCTTGACTGGATGGAAGAAAGAGTTGCTTTGTGCTGCTTTTGTTAGCTGGCAGTTGAAGGCTGGAAGGAAATGGGGTTCCATATGCA